AGTCGTGAAATGTGTTTTTCACTACTGTTTTACATATCACTAGGGTGAAACTCCAGTGCGTAGAAACTTACATGCATCCGTTCGTAAATGTAGCCACCAACACATATATCAAAAGTGCCGTTGCATGCGATGCGTGAATCAGCATCAGCAAACAGAATAAACTCATCAGCGTTGGAGACCTTCGAGGCATACTACATTTCCACAACTACTAGAAGCAACAACTACGCTTTTTTCGCGCCCCAGTAGCCAAACGCAGGAATCACCGCTACAAAGGCTATGCCAACGAGAGTTTGCATTAATGGCTGACCTGATAGAAATCATGAGTACGACATATATATATGAGAAATGTCTACAATGTTGGAGTAGGAATATATGTACTCGCTTTCCTCACTAATTATAGGAGTTTATATACGAATTCAGGTAGAAGTGCCCAAAAATTTTCCTCAAATTTTCCATAAAATTTTCCCCCCATCACTACATGTCTTACCATCAGCTAGAAGCAGAGCTGTTCGAGCGATCAAAGTGACGAAGATAAGAAATGTCGCGCGAATGACCTTCCGAGCTCTCAGTGTGACCTACCATAATTATCTACTAAAATCTCGCTAATCGACCACCTCCAAAATCTCATAAAAACTCGTTTTACGTAAAGTGGTGTAATACTCTGTGAAAAACGCGGTGATATTCGCGGTGATATGCAGCAGTACTCGTGAAATATATTTTTCACTAGTGTTTTCATATCACTAGGGTGAAACGTCATCGATCATTTCAAAAAATAATACTCTTGAAAACTCATCGCGTCCCTCATAAGAAATCCGCCTTATGCATCGATCGCAATAGTATTAAAATATACGTTGAGTTCCCTCAACTGATATTAGAACTCTCCTCACAACATTATAAAAACTCGCGCATGATTTATGGTACAAAAACCAACGAAAATTTCCCAAATTTTTTCTCAAAATTTTCATATTGTTATCACCAACACACGTAGTTGATCATGTGCATATTCCTCCCCCCCACACTGATCGTTTAAGCTCCACTAAATATTTTAGCTCAGCCACCAACAAGTAATATATGTCACACAGCCACGTCAGAGGTCATTTTCTGATGGAAATTTTTGCAATAAATTACTCCCTAGTGAGCTAATGCAGTCTCCTCCTGCTCCTCCAGCCTTTATCACCTCCGGATCAGTGATAACCAAATCCAATACATGATAGTAATTCCCAGCATTCGTTCGCCAAACACGTGACGCTCCATCTTCATCTGCATTATTATTAGCATTCATATTGAGAAATAAACAACTGGAGACTTGGCAAATCCACTAGAAAATGTGGTAAAACACCATTTTACTACTATTAACGAGTGATCTCCTGATTCTTCACACAGAAAATCTGTCGCATATTGCTACCATAATTTCCAGGCTAAAACTGGTCCCTAGGAAAATTCTGTCAGGGATAATAAAATCAATTTTTCTCAAAAAAATCTTTAGTAATCCACTAGTAATAGTTATTCACCGAAAAATGCGACCGAACGTCAACAAGTGAATCTCCAAAAAATCTCACACGAAGGAATCGCTTTTCCTAGTCTGAGACCGTTCCCGATAAAATTTTTTTCGGGTGCATAAATTTATTTTTTCTCATAAAAAATCAACTATCACTCGGCAACGAAATTTGTTGAACCACGAATGCCAATAACACTGATATTCACATTGGTTAACAATACTATGAAGAATAATGAAACCAATCTACGGCATATCACTGTATTTTAAAAATGGTAAATCTGATAAAGAATATTCATTTGTACGATGTTTTCTATAATTTATATTATGGAATGTATCATTGAATATACAATTTATATGATAATGGTCCGGTCTGAAGTCGGCTAGTCTCATCGCGAAACCGCGTCACAGACCACACGTGACTGAACCCATCTTGGTGAGCAATAGATTTCACGTGGATTCATTGGTGTAATCGTCATGAGCGTATGCTGTCCATCGGTAGGTAAGAGGATCTATCCCCGGGACTGGGTATTAAATTACTTTTAATTTTCGATAATTTGATATTCTGCTATTTACACGAAAAATCTCTAAAGTAGTGAGTGAGTGGGAGAATATGCACATGTGTGTTGGTGATAATATGAAAATTCTGAGGAAATTTTGAGAAATTTTATTAGTTTCTATACACTTCTACCCGAATTCGTATGTAAACTCCTTGTGCGTCTGCGTGCTACTTTCGTGCTTTTTTTTCTGCGTTTTACTTTACTTTTCTACACATCTTATGTAAAACTCCAACAGCAAGAGAACTGCCTGAGGTGAGTCAACATATATTCCAAGACTACTCTGGAAAAGTTTTCATCTAAATGTACAGTTCACGGACTTACGACTCGTGTGAGAAAATATAAAGATGATCGATTACATGTGTATGAAAACTGTGTCGAAATTCTTATTGGTTTCTGTACACTTTTACCACAATTCACGTAAATAAACTTCCATAATGTAGTAGCTTTGGAAACTCAGTTGCTGAGGAAAGTGATTACATATATCCCTTTATTTTGCTATACATTACTGCTCATTCAGCGGCAGCATGCACACCAGGAAATCATTCAAGAATCTATAATTTTCCCGGGGGGGGGGGGGGGGAATTTATTCCAACACCGAATGATCCTAGACGGTTACGACCTACACTCTTGGCTAGATGTGCTGTTAACCAATAGAGAACTCAGAGAAGTGATAAAAGGAATCTATAAATTCTATTTACGATCATAATCATAAAATCATCAACTGAAATATTTGCAATAATCATCTGAATGATCATCGATTCGATTCTCTAAGGAGGAGAGCGTTGTTGTAGACTACTTTCAACGAGGCAGTTAGGCGTTCCTGGTTACAGTGGAGTTTCACAACAACCCGTTTTACGTGAAGTGGCGTCGTAAAACTCTGTGAAAAACGCGGTGATATTCGCGGTGATATGCAGTAGTAGTCGTGAAATATATTTTTGCACTATTGTTTTTCATATCACTAGGGTGGTGAAACTCCAATACAAAATCAATACGTCAATATTTCTACTAAACTGATATTCGATGAATTTAAAATTTCTAACTCAATCGCAGGCCGAACATAAAATCCTGAGAGGTTCAAATGTGGTCATCCATCGGACATGTTTCGTATCTTTCCGAAATGGCAAGGTTTGAATCTTTCAATGTGGTCCGACTCGTCGAGAATACTCTCCCCGTGCATTCAACAGGGCCGTCTTTTTCTCGAAAAGCCCGACGGCTTCGAGATGATCGGCGACACACTGAAAGAAGTTTGCACTTCTTTAGAGCGTTTTTGCGAGGGGGAAAACGAGAGCGTAATATGGCGGTGCATGGGGGAAAATGTGTTGATGATAATATGAAAATTCTGGGGCTCAGCTGAGGAAAGCGAACATATATTCCTCTACCACTGCAGCTTCACAACAACCCGTTTTACGCGAAGTGGCGTAGTAATACTCTCTGAAAAACGCGATATTCGCGGTGATATGCAGTAGTAGTCGTAAAATATGTTTTTCACTAGTGTTTTTCATATCACTAGGGTGAAACTCCACTGTATTGTGTCTGGACTACTATACGACAATTTTAGGACATTCTTTATCGCGTTGATATCGGCTTGGGAGTTGCCGTTTCATCGTAATGCTTCTGATCGTGAATGCGACATTTTCAAATAGTGTATGTTCTGGTTGATTTTTTTTTATAATTTTGCCAGAATTTCAGATAATTTCCCTTTTTTCAAAAATTTTTTCCGAAAATTTTGATGGAATTATTGACTTTTTTTTCGTAACGCCTAAACTCAAATTAACAGTTTGTGAGTTGTGAACGTTTTATCATTTCTGTTAGATAAAAGTATTGGATCTCAGTGATCTCGATCTCACCGATGCCCACCTAAGTGCAATCCTGGAATCACTTATAGAAGTATCAGTTTCGGTGGAGGACGAAGTTCGGGTACTTTTTAGGGCGAATCTGATCGTTGTACGGTGTCGACGTCCTTGAAATCTGTGAGGAAAAACATCGTAATTCACCTGGTGACTCTAGACATCGGCATTACTCTTATGCCATGTAATTGTGAGAGTTGTAACCTTAGCAAAATCGAACCGTATGGGTTCTTTATGAATGGAGTTTCACAACAACCCGTTTTACGTGAAGTGGTGTAAAACTCGGTGTAAAACGCGATATTCGCGGTGATATGCAGTAGTCGTGAAACATGTTTTTCATATCACAGCCTGTGAAACTCCAATGAACAAAATATGTGTTCATGTTGTTCTTTATCAGTTATCGAATAATCGTCTGTCCATGAACGTAATAGCACATCTGTTGGAATATATACAGTCCGTTATGGAACCGCGGCAGAAATTAAAAGTAAGCTCAGCTATTCTCGTAGTGCAAATTTTGAAAGAAATTCGCATTGGTTTTCATATGTTTTTATCCGATTTAGAGCTCGGGTATAATATAATGGAGTTTCACGACAGTGATATGAAAAATATATTTCACGACTACTGCATATCACCGCGAATAATATCGCGTTTTTCACATGGAGTTTTACGCCACTTCACGTAAAACGAATTTCGAAACTTTAGTGTTGAATCACCACCGGTAGTAACAACTCACTAAGTGCTGCTTCTGTTTCCTTCTGTGAATACGTCGTAGCTCCTCTGGGGAATCCCCACTGATGTACCGCCCTAAAATTACTATTCTGGTGAACAGCCCAGTGTTGGAAAATATATGTTCGCTCCTTCAGGCGGGTAGAAGTGTACAGAAGCCAACAAAAAATCTCCAGAAATTTCCCCCTTTTTCCCGGAATTTTCCCGAATTTTCCGGGAATTTCCCGAATTTTTCCGATTTTTCGATTTTTTTTCAGAATTTTCCTCGGAATTTCCTTATCATTATTAACAGCTTACATGCACAGATGAATTCCTGATGATGTTATGATACACCCCAGAGGCCTGAGAAGTGCGCCTGGTCACATCTTGGCCACTGCTCTTGTTGTTGTTGTCGCTGCTCGTGATGATGATATGTCGTTGATAGTCCATATAGAGTTTACTATCCAGTCATTCAGTGTTGGAGGAATATATGTTCGCTTCCCTCACTAGTTATGGAAGTTATTGTAGTTTCACCACCCGTGGCGTAATACTCTGTGAAAAGGCGATATTCGCGGTGATATGCAGTAGTCGTGGAGTATGTTGTTCACTAGTCTTCTTCATATCACAACATATTTCACAATTCACGCTGCGAAAAACAGACACACCTTACATGGAGTATTACGCCACTTCACACTAAGCGGGTGAAACTCAACTGAATTGACTTAACACAATGCGTGTAGCAATATGACAACAATGCGTAGTAGTAGCACATGTACTAATCTCAACGTGCACTTCTAGCAACTAAACGAGTGATACCCCGGAACCTGACCACAACCCAGTGAAG